CAAATGGATTTTTGACTAGACTTCAAGTTGATTTAATCGACATGCGTAATGCTAAATATTATAGATATAGATTTATATTACATGCAAAAGATCATTTTACAAAATTCTGCTGGTTAAATCCGTTACTTTCAAAGGAATTTTGTCATGTTACTACTAGTTGACATAATATTTTTTATCAATTTGGACCACCAAAGATATTACAATCTGACAATGGAAAAGAATTTTTGTAAGAATACTGTTATAATTCAAAATGTACATTTCATGTTTTCATAGTCCAAAAATTATTTTACAACTCAAATCAAGTTAGTGAGATTTAGTTATTATCACTGATCGTCCACGACATTGACAAAGTCAAGGCCTTGTTGGACGAGGCAATGCTGTGATACAAAAAATGTTAGATAAATGGAAAGAGACAAATAAATCCGATGATTGGCCTAAAGGTTTAGATATTAATTATTTTATTTTAAAACAATCATATCTTTAAAATATTGAGTTTTTCATTAAAAAAACATAAGGACCAGTGATGTTATCAATTAATAATTATGTATCTCTAAGTGCACAAAAAACACCATATAAAATAATCTTTGATCAACCTACACGCCATGATCATGAGTTTTGGCAAGAATTAAACAAACAATATTCTAATAATTTAATTATTAATAAAGAAAATTTATCTCAATCGATTTCTGATATGATTTCTTCTAATGATGATGAAGTATTTTTTAGATTCCTCAATTGTTTATCTTATATATATTTTTAGTTAACAAATAATGAATTAGCAGACGTTTCTATTCCTTCACCAATACCATCATTATGGTGGGTGTAGATGGGTGTGCAGTGGGGTGTGGATGTGAAGATAAGAGCTGCACCAACATGCCCACACCCACACCCACACATATACACCCACAAACAGACTTTGTTTCGAATTCTTTCTACTCCTTATGACTCTTGCAGCTACTTTGGTAATATATATTGTGACTACTATTGTATGTTTGACCAGCGAACTCATATAAGAAAGAGCCGAAAAGTAATAGTCACCTTATGCTTATACACCTAGTATGCGATCCAGAAAAAAGCACCAAAGGTAAGCGGAAGAAGGGTTAAACAAAAGTAACGTCACTCTATCAATGTCTAACATTACAGGAAAGGTGATTAATCTAAAGTATCATTTACAGTAGCGTTTCGAACGTGAAATTTCATTCGTACTCAAACATCTCTTCGAGAGAAATAAATCACTACTTAACATCACGTTTCTTTAGATGTAGTTATTTGACATTTCTTAGATTCGGTCAATTTTTTTATGGCGTTGACACACTTTTTACAAGCCATCTAGTTTTTAGACTAAAACAAAGATAAACATTTCTCTTGGTAGAGAGTTTCTTCTAGACGTTTAGTCTGCTTCATGCATGTTAATAATATTACACGATCAGTAAAAAAGCACGAATTTAAATTTGATTTTTCACTTATCAAATGGCTACACTGGACTTTTGACTAGCTCAAACGTGTTGAACAATCGTTTTCCTGAAATTCTTTTTGTTTTGCTATCTATCTTCGAGTGCGTTGAAAACTTCTTCACAAAGAACAGGCATAGCAACTAGTTTATGGTCTTGGGAATGTAAAAGTTCTTTCGACAATGGGACAAAATGGCTTTGATTGTGTATTGAAACTACTCTCTGTTTAAGTCCAGCGCTATCAGTGAGTATGAACACAATGACAGACTAGCATTAGCGGACAATGAATGACAATAGATGAGGGAGGAATGCAAAGTAATAAAAATAAAGAGACTAAACCATTTCCGAACAGTTCACAAATCTGACAGAAAAGAAAAGATTTAGGTATACACAAAGATCGTTATTTAAGAATCAATCGTAATGTGATTATCATTCTTCGAACCTTTCTTCTATAATTCAACTGACCAAACCTATAATATTAGCTATATGGTAATTACTCCATGACTGNATGGTAAGTATATTGTTTTCTTTTTCTATCTTTGAACAAGTAAAATTTTCTTGTTGAGGTCAATAGTGATACTTTGCAAAGGTTCCCACTAACCTTGTCCGTATGGATTTGAAATGTGAACATGCCTCTATCCTTGGTAAAAAAATGAGCCCGTTTGGTCGAGTTGTAATGAAGATATTCAACTTTTTCTTTGTGGAGTTACTTACTGGACACCCTATATAGCAAATGGTCAAAAGATAGAATTGAATCATTATCAATTCAGAATAGCCCTGAATTGGATAATTATACGAATCCTAAAGCTTGTGATAGTTGGGTAGTCGTTACGACTATTTTCCTTCCATCAGAAGCCGTTCAGAAAGCAGCACAATTAGATGGATGGTGTGTTGTAGTGGTTGCTGATAAAAAGAGTTCGCCATCATACTATGTGAGCAATATTGTTTATTTGTCTGTCGAAGCCCAGAAAAAATTAGCTAATCATTATAAATTTGTACAACTTATACCGTGGAATCATTTTGGGCGCAAAAACATAGGATACTTATATGCTATTTTGCAAGGAGCCCTGTATATTTTCGACTTGGATGATGATAATGTTTTGATGCAGTCACATATTTCACCTCCGAAAAGTATCATGGAAATGACTGTGTCTAATTGTACTGTTTTTAACGTGTATCCAATGATGGGAGCTTCGAGACATCCTATCTGGCCTCGAGGTTTTCCGCTTGAGAATATAAAACAAGAGTGTTATTTGGCGCAAGAATCGCGCGAAGTTCATAAAGATGAGGTGGTAATCTTTCAATCACTAGCGGATAATGATCCAGATGTCGATGCTATATATCGTATGACACTTCCGCTTCCATTGCATTTCAAATCTCATACGGGTGTCGGAATTCCTCGCGGAGTTTTCATTCCCTATAATGCCCAGGCGTCTATGCATTACAGGAAGTCATTTTGGGGCCTTTTGCTTCCAATAACAGTTCATGGCCGTGTGAGTGACATTTGGAGAAGTTATGCCACTCAAAGATTATTGTGGGAAATCTGTGGTCGCATCGCTTTTGTCCCTCCATGGGTTATTCAGTTTCGAAATCCTCATAATTACATTCAAGATTTTCAAGCTGAAACAGATTTATATCTGAAAACCAGTGCATTAGTTCGATTTCTTCTCGAATGGAATGGTCATTCTACTACATTCCCTGGTCTCATTGAAGAATTGTGGATTGAATTATATGAGCGGGATTACGTTGATAAAGAAGACATTAGCCTGCTACAAATGTGGCTCGATACCTTAATCCGCGTCGGATACAAGTTTCCAGATGCAAAGTGCACTTTTCTAAACACGATAACTTTCAACAACAGCTATTTTTAGCAAGCGACTGAAAAACGATTTTGTCACACCTGTACATGGAATGATTGATATTCATATTACAAAGGAGTTGATTAAGAACCCGCAATACCAGATATACCCGAATAGTTTAGCCAAGATCTAATTTAGTGATACTTAGAAGCATTTTACATGAAATCAATATTATTTGTGGTTACATTACAGATGTTTATTCTTGCTATACTTTGACTAAATGACTTAGCTCTCTTACCAATTATAATAGAGAACCCATAAATCCTGTTCTTGAGGAAACATTGACACGCACTACTATAAAAGATCATCATTAGCTTCAATAAAGAATTGCAACCCTTGAAGATTTATAGAAAGGAAAGCAATCTGTTTGTTGCCTGAACAAAAAGTAAATTAGGCATGTTTTTTTCGATTAATGCTTTACACTATTGCATCAGTGGCATACACCCCGGACTTCAAAGTGGGTGTGTGTGTGTAAACCTCTCCTTCGATTAAAACCACATGCTCCCACATGCATACCAAGACCGACACCGACACTCACACATTTCGTGCTCTCAATCCTAACATATCTCATTCATCATGCACACAACTTTACTCGTAATTTACTCGTACTTTGATGCACTAACCTCTTTTTCTTCGCTTTACCATTATGCTGTTACCTGTAGTTTTCATGGAAGAAAATAGAAATTCACTACAGAATACATTCTAAATTGTACCAGGATACTGTATTAAAATTGCATTGTTTGTTTTGAAATTTTTATTCTACTCAGGTTGTATACAGGGTGTAGTAAAATAATAATAATAATAGTTTAAAAAAGTGTATCGATCCACAACAGCTTGAAAATAGTGACGCAATGCTAGCTAAACTTTGCCCTATATTTTCAGATATTATTTGAATAGGTGGTAAAAAACACAAGAATTGAATTATGATTTAATGGGTGTTTTCTTGTGATTTGGAATTCCGCTTTCGCGAAAAATCTTCAGTTATAGGACAACATGCTTATTCAAAGCGTGACTTGCTAATCACTATCCCGTTTTCTCACATTTATGATAAAAAACAAAAATAAACGGTAACGAAACGTTTCAAGTACAATTATCTTTGATAATAATCACATGGTGTTTCTGTTCTCAAATTAAATTCATTATTTTCCTTCGTTTCTTCTATATTGAAAAAATGACTTATGAATCGCTGATTGCAACTGGTGATGATGAAGGCATCACAAACAGCATTAAACGACGAAGTAAACTTTTCACTATAGTAGTAACTACTATTTTAATCCTATGGTGCATTGGAATTGTTAGGCATAAAATAAATGCCATTTCGTACGTAGCACATTTCTTGAATATTTTTTCAGCATTTACATCGTCTAATAATAGGTTTTCCGAAACGAAATACCGATCTTTTGATCTAATTACAATAAAAAATAATTGCATAGACTCGATGATCAATCGTTTGAAAATAAAAAGCTTTATGGCTGAAGAATCTTTTCAACTTAACTGTAGTTGTGTTAANGGAATTGTTAGGCATAAAATAAATGCCATTTCGTACGTAGCACATTTCTTGAATATTTTTTCAGCATTTACATCGTCTAATAATAGGTTTTCCGAAACGAAATACCGATCTTTTGATCTAATTACAATAAAAAATAATTGCATAGACTCGATGATCAATCGTTTGAAAATAAAAAGCTTTATGGCTGAAGAATCTTTTCAACTTAACTGTAGTTGTGTTAATTGGGCTGTCGTTGCTACTGTTGACACTGATTCTCGCTCTATCAAGCAAGCGGCAAATCGTCTCCACGATTGGTGTATAGTAGTTGTTGCTGATGGAGGTGATTCGAATAGATATGTGACGAAAGACAAAACGGCCAAGATTTTTTATCTTAACAAAAATATTCAAGACAAGTTCTCTCAAACATCAAGATTTGTGGCTGCAATTCCACGGAGCGACTTCAGAAGAAAAAATATTGGTTATTTGTGGGCTATTATTCATGGAGCGCGTAACATCTGGGACTTTGACGATGATGTTGAACTAATTGTTGACAAACTCTCTATTCCAGTGAATGATACAGAAGCACTGACATTTCCTAATATGAAAAGTGTCTTTCTGAATCCACATTCAATTTTGGGATCCAAAGAACAATATGTGTATTCACGTGGATTTTACAAGCTGCTAACAGAAGACCCTGGAGTACAACCATTAGATAAAGAAGGCATACACGGCATCTGGCCTGCCGAACGTCTTGGAATGTGAGTTATTTTAATATAAATTCGACTCTAAGGTTACTTCATGAAAGACATCAGAATAGAAAAGAACAGGAAAGCGTCTGCCAGCAAAATCGGATACATCTGAAAAGAGAAATTCATTGCGGTACAAATAAATATTTCTCTGTACATTTAATTAAATATGTATGAGTTAAGAAGTGTTTTGTTTTGAGGTCGTCTTTTTTATATTTAAATGAAATTGATAAAATGAACTGGTTACGAAACAAAGAGAACTTCTTCAAAGACGGAGCGAAACTTAAATAACACCTATTTAAATAAATTTATGAAAAACTATGTTACAATGCCGACAACTGTAAACCTATTCAACTAAGACCAAAGACCCACAAGCTCAATTTAAGCTTCCAAAAATGACCTGCTGAAAAAATATTTAGTTCGATTTTTCAAATGATTATTTTAAGTAAAAATATCACAACAAATGGTTTGCAATAGCTGAGTTCAAGACCCTGATCTGGTTCAACAGCTCATCAATCAATTAGAGCTGAATTCATGAGCTGAAATTAGCCGACTCCTAATTTAGATAAGAATCAAAAGACATAAGTGCAACGTGTTATAGATAGCTTTGCAATGGTTTTCCTCTAATATCTGTCAGAAAATGATTTTCTTCTTTTTTTCAAGATCGAAGATAAGAAAGACTTTTCATAAGAACAAGGAGTACCTACTATATATCAAGCCAGAAAGAAGTTACTTGCACAAGCGTTTTTGTAAGCAACGAATTGCAAGATTTAAATAAAATTTATGCAGATCACCGAAAGATCAAATGTTGGCTGAACCTAGATAGCCAGGACTGTAATAGAAAATATGTTTGATTCAGTGTATGGCAAATCTGAGTGAATATATCACTGAAATTTTCCTCTCAGTTAATGAACCATTTCAAAATTCTAGCTCATGTCAAGATAAACCCCATTCACGACACAGTAATTTCAGTTCGCCACTACAAGTTTATTAGCTTATATAAAGATATATAGCAAGGTACCTGGGTAGATTGGTAGATTGGTAGATAGGTAGATAGATAAATCAATAAATAGATAGAAAAATAGTGCACGAATCATCGTATGTGGTTGTCTCTGTACCGTACCCACATTTATTGTAATGCCCTGTGTGACTGTGTTACCGGGTCTGTTTCCGCGGCATTCTATGTACATCTGTAACGCGTCTAACTCAAGTTCTGCTACTTTATTGGATTTCCCTCGATAGCCATAGAACTGATTTCATTTCCCTATCTATTGGTACTCATGAGTCTACAGGCAGATAAATTGATGTGTAAAAAGATTTCTATATTTACCTTCATACCAATGAGGCTACGGTTAGATAGATAGATAGATAAGTAGGTAAATAGACTTATTTATCTGTCTATCGAGCTGCCTATTTATCTGACTAAATAACTATATATCTATATATAAGGTATTTTTTGTGATGGAAATTCCAGTGATATTATCACTGAGATTCGTCATGTGCTGTTTTGATCACTTCAAATCCATGTATTAATATACATAGTAACATAGGTGATAAGAGATATGTGATCGCAGATCGTGTTTATCGCTAAGCTTCATAAAACACTACAAAATTATGATTCATCGCTTTGAAAAAACTTTATGTACTGTGCTGTAAAAGGCTTACACAATTTTCTGTCTGCTAAAGTAACACAATAGTGTACGATGTGTGCATATAAAACGAAAAGTTGTCTCCTGACATTTGTATAGTACATCCTCGACTACACCTAAAGGGATAGCATCAGTTCTACTAAGACCTATAACTATGTTCTCGTTCATATAGTATTCTTTGTTGGTCTGGATTCTTTTAGTCAACTGTAAGGTATGCACACTGGCTAAAGCAAACCATCTAGATGTCCACAGGTAGCATAAAAACACTACAAAGTCATAGCATAGTCATGAATGATTTTATCATGATAAAAACTAAGATTTTCTCCTCATTGTTAAAGTGATATTATACTTGAAGTAAGCGACTGTTATCTCGTATATGCAACTATTATGTTGCTGAAATATATTTTATCAAACTCTTAAGTAGTGCTTCATTGTAACTGCTATGCCTATTGACAAAGTTTATGTTATTATTTAGAGTGCAATCTCTTGTGGTAAATAGCGAAGCGGCCTATGCATCATACAACTCATCTCAATCTTCAATCTTTCAACTTAAAACTTTGAACAAAGATATTAAACTTGTAGTTCCTCGTAGAACGTTTTCCCTATATAATATGAAAGCTACTCTTCATTTACATCCTGCATTGTGGGCATTATTGTTACCTGTCACCGTTGATCGTCGTGTTTCAGATATCTGGCGAAGCTGTATCATGCAGGTAATAGAAACAGAAATCATGAAGTATATACAATCGAGTAAGAATGACTAGCCATCATGTACTTAGGTTGTCTTTTATATGTAAAGCCGATATCTACTATATATATATGTGCAAATTGAATAGAAAAAAAAGAAATCTATATTATAAGCATCTGTCCATTTTCGATCTGATAGCACACACCCTGTGGTAATGAATTGAACACTATCTGCGCCTTATAGCTTTTATATCTGCGGTAGTTTTATTATATCTATGTTGATAGAATCTTTCATCTTCAAGCACAAAGCCATAGTTACTCCTGATTCTAATTACGCAATAAATAGCTTCAGATTCCTTGAAGATGAAGCTAGTGAACTTTATTCTTCGTTGTTGCCATAGGTACTGCAACATTTCAAATATTATCTCACCGAGAGCAGCTTGAAAAAAACGATTGCATGAACTTTTTGACGTATAAAAGCATTAAGCGGTACTTTTTTCAGTCACTCTGTGTAAGACAATAGTTAAAATTTTGGTTGAATGACCGAGAACATGGATGAAGAGAACTCAATAACTTCATCGTCAGATATTCCGAAGTTACTTCTTACTAAATTGAATCAGAAGTAGCTGTAAACTTGTAACTTAAAGTAATATATTAAGTCAAAATAGAAGTACTAGAAGCGGCTGAAATATGGAAGGTAGCAGATGTTGAGGGCGTTCAATCTAGTACCGCAATATATCATTTCGAATCGAAGCTGGGTAAATGTTGGTACTCTGAGTTTATGTTGCACAATGTAGACTATAGATGTTAGCTGAAAGATGTAGCAGTCAACTTAGCTGTATGATAGTTCAGGATTTCTGTCAAAGATATTGTTGCAAAGTGATTGGAAAATATTTTAGCGACTAATGTGGGATGTTGGACTTCAAATATCTTTTGCCGGGCCCTATGTTTCAAAAAAGGTGAATGGCCATTCTTCGTCTGATGACATTAATGATGACGATGAGCTACATCATAAAAGCGTACAACTTTTAAAATTTTTAAATGAATGGTCGGGTATCGGAGATACTGTTCCTAAGCGAGTTGAAGCGCTGTACACGGCTCTTTATGAACGAGGCTATCTGGAGATTGCGGATGTGGAGCTTATTCTACTCTGGCTTAATGAACTGATCCAAGCAGGTTACAAGTTTCCTCAGATAATCTCAAAATTTACCGTAGCTGTTCGAACCTACACTGGTGACCTTCATAAATTAAATGACAGGTTAACGTTGAATCTGATTTTCAGTATACTGTAGTTCTATTGTTGAAACTTGTTCTAGATTGCTTCCTAGTTTTGGCATGTTTGTTGATCGTGCAGTCACAGATATCTTATTTGTTCTTGATGATGAATCAGATGCTGACCACAAGCTGGGAGATTGTTTGAAACAAAATTTTTCTGTAACATACGAAGCTCTACCAACACAATGGAAAACATTGTTTCATGGAACAGCCTCTACTCACCCCAAGTATGCACGTATCGGATACGATCGACAGCAATGGTCAACTTTTTATATGGATAAACACGTACATAGTGACTATATTGGAGTCATCGACTCAGATGGGATGCTGTTTTCGATGATGCATCCTGTACACAGTATGTTTTCGTCTGATGGACGTATCATGCTCAAAGGAATACTCGGTGACCATAATTTCAATGATAAGGTATAGCATATTACCACTGTTCGGTTTCTTTTTTGTCGAGACAATAAGAACAAAAGTCATTAAAACTTATTTGCTAGTTGTCGACACCACATTATACTATAGAATCACGATAGAAAATTGCTTGAGATTCAAATAGCATATTATGAAAAATTCTATTAAAATCTTTGATGTTTCATGAGTACACATTCCTCAAAATTTGTATAATTCATTGACTGATTCATATTTGGAGACAAAGGAGCTCCCCAGATTCTTTCAAAGTTCCTGACGGTTCTGTGCTCTATCTGATATGAGAACTTTTCAGAGATGNGTCTATCATTGAAGTAAATTTTAATGTTTATTAAGTGATAACTTACGTAAAATTGCTCGGCAGTTGTGAACCGTTGATCATGAGGCTAATAGTCAGACATAAATTTTGTGCTAGCTATTTGACGAGGATGAGATTGACTATCACGTGGTACATATTCACTAAGTTCAAAATGTTGTCGATTATCATTGATAATTAAAGCATAATGAATATCAACATGACGATAATCAGTAAAGAGTGCTGAATTAGTCATTCGATCAAGATCATCACGAGCAATAACAATAGAGAAATTTATTCGTCGTAAAATTGGCATAACACTAGAAGTAGTTAATACATTAAGTAGTGTTCATTCTTCACTGGAATATGAACAAAATGATTTCACAAAAGTAAATGTATGCAATGTTCCCATTCAAGGTAAACAATCTTTAGCATGTAAACTACGATTTATATCATTACACACACTCATTTTTATGTGTAGTTGTTTTAATGTACATGCTAATGGTGTGGTCGACATAATATGAAGTAAATCTTGTGTTTTAGTAAGTGTAATTCTCAGATAGATCAAGGGTGTTGGTATGGTTTTTAAAGGCCATAGATGTAGAAAAAAAGTTGTTTCCATTCCCAAATCAAGCAAACAAAGAGCACACAGACGACGAAGAACTTTCTGGGCAAATTCACATAAATTCCATGATGGATAACATTTTTTTTTGTCAGACCAACCTTTATGAAACAAAATAAATATTAGAATCTATATATGATTTTAATTAACAAATTCTGTTTTTTAGCTTATTCAAACATCTTAATAAAAGAATTTTTTTTTATCAAACAAATAGAAACCTTTTTCTTATCTTAAATGATTTTTTTTTCTTAAGATTAATTTTTTAAGAAAGAAAATATCTGAAAAATATAGACAAAATTCTAATTACACTAGAACCAAAAGTTACTTGCATATCAAATGTTTCAAACAGTTTAGATAACCATAAGTAGTTAGAAAACATTTCTAGCAGCGAATCTAAATGATCTGTTTCAATTAAATCCAGAAGTTTAATTTAAATTCTAATAAATTAATTTTTCTAAACATAGTGTAGTGTAGTACACAATACTGAATAGAACGGTTTTTTGCAAAAAAAATGTTTTAGATAGACTAACAAGAAACAACATCTAGATATACTCTGCTAATCCCTCTAAGTTTTATTCATTGACTATTATGATTATCTCTCACTGCACTTACTGTCGGATAATCATCGCTTGATTCAACTGTAAGATGCATCAATGTTTTTGCATGTTGTTGGGCAAAATTGAAAACATCGACAACGCTGAGTACACCCTACAATCGTAATGTTATTAAATGTGGTAAATAAGGCCATTTGCTCAGTTGAATAGATGATGCATTACAATTAATGACAAGTGACTCTATTTCGTTTAATCGAAGTAATGGTAAAATTGCTTGAAATTGATAATATCGAGTAGATGATAAATTAGCATAACGATAAAAACCTAATTCAGTTAACAATGTTGCCAGAGGAGCATTGATATTACTGAATGCCCATAGAGCAGCAGCACAGTAATAGATAAGACAAAATTTCGATCAATGATAAATCAGGTAAATTATCGAAGACAGTGATCATTGTTATCAACTCAATGAAGACGACGAATAAGATATTCCTTTTATAACCATTTATATAATGTTATATTCTGAATACTCATTGTATTATTATTTATTTGTTCATAATCAATGACCGCTGATGACAACATTTAGCAATGTGTTCATTCCTTATATGACAAAAAAAAAACGCATGAACTAACTGGTGTCCATATGAATATCATGTATTGGTATGTATTAAAATGATCGAAAACATACATAGGGAACGAAAGACAGCGAAAAATAAATTCTTCAGAAAAATATCTAAAAAGTTGTAGATGTCATTCAATAACTCTATTAAACAGTGAGATGTGGAGTTCAAAGGTAGATGTAAAGCAAGGACTGATATCCATACCTAAACCATATCGACATAAAGACACATATAGTTTTGTTATTAATTTTATGCCTGAATATTTTTGATCCATTATAATTTTTTTGAGTATATATTTACACAGGGTGTGGGTATGGATGCGGTTTGAGGTAAAGAAAATATTTACATCTAGGTCCACACTCTCTAACGATGCATAAACAAAGAAATGGTCTTTACTGATTCTTTTGAAAATTCGCTTTTAAAGATTGGTTTGTTTATTTTTAATGGTGAAATAGTATTTGAAGATTGTATGAGCAAAAGATTTTTGAATAGGAATAAGAAGTTTTTTTTATACAATTGTATTACATATAAGAAATTACGGATATGTTTAACTAAACAAAATTCACAAGTACTTAATGAGGGATTATAAATCACGATTCATAAACGATTTATATTTTTTATTTTCTAATAATATCGGTTGGTGTATTTTTGGTTTAAATGGAAGGTTATTGTACGAAGTAATCTTCAAAAATAGTAACATTTTACAGTCATTCTCGTCGAGGTTTTTTATTCTAATTTATTTAATGCAACAAACTATGTTTTAAGTTGTATTGTTTTCTTAGTTAATCTTGAGCAAAAAACCTCATGTAAACAAAACAGAAAAAAACGTTCATTACACGATTCCCTTCAGTAACTCGTAATTGATAAAAATAAATTCATTCTTTCATACCTACGTTGCACATGTTTTTAAATGATTAATAATACGATTCACACTATATATTCAACTCATATGAGTAATAAGTCTTATGCATAATGGAAGGGTTAATACTTAAAACTCCTTTCTCTATAGTGAATTTTGTGTAACTTTACTATTAATTGAATTTTAACGGCTAATTATGATACGATAAGCACCATGCTCTGATTTTTATTTACATCAATAAACTTATTGAAAGTATTTTATTCAGAACTATTATATTTTACAAAGATGTACAACATTTCGATGAATTAAAAGTCTACACAACATGAATTGGAGTATCACAGTGAAAAATGTTGACGGAAAAAAACGGAAGTGAATGTATTCATCAAAACATGGAAGGCTATCTTGACTGTGAAGAACGCATAATATAGTTTAACGAATGCGTTCATTACTGATCTGAATGAGAGACCGAAATAAATAAGAATTTCTTCATTCGGATTCAATTTGATGTGACTCGGAATATGATGAAGAAAAAAGATACTTTTATTTGTACACAGTACCTGTTACATCTCAACGTTCTATTTGATTAAAACATCTATCTATATATTTCCATGTTAAAGGCTCAGTTTTCATATTTGTCTTATTAATACATATTCAGAGATCATTTACTAATTTAAAACCAATAGTTCAGCACAAAGTACAACTTATTAAATAATCGAGGTCATAACAGTTCGTTATCGACGAACTCGTAAAAATTTATATGACTATGCTTGTATGATTGATACTTGACCAACATCTAGACCAGATCTAAGAAAACTAGTCGAACACAAATCCGTTGAAAAACTTGTAATAAAAGAATAAAAGCTTATTAAAGCGAAGGACTTTATATTTAACGAGCAAGTTAAACAGATATATAACAGAATAGGCAGAAGTCACTTAACAATCTATATTTTATTTAAAAAAGCGAATGTTTCTTTGATGCGCGCATATTATTATAAGCATGAACTTCTTTTTAGTATTAGAATTATTGTGACAACAGGTTGTTAAGACAATACATACAAACTTCAGTCTCGAAGAAGAGTTCGATCAAAATAAAAAGTGTTTAAATTGTATCATGCAAATGTGTTATTTAGTTACGCGTTCGCATCTAACATTACTCGACGACAATCAGAAGAAGTTGCAAATCTTGTGTGAATTGTTATTCTTTTCTTTTACATACGCCTAACTTAATTGTTCAATAATCAATTGCATTCAACATTACTTTGTTAACATAATTACTGTCAATTTCACCTTTTTATATGATTGTTTGATAATATGGTTTAGAGATTGAAGCAAATATTGACATCTTCATTCTACTCGATTCGCGTGTGAGTCTAGGTATTCCATTTTCCATCCACACTCTGCTGCGATCTTGTATGATGGTCAAATTGGCAAAAGATTCCAGTCGATTTGTAAGTTTATTGTCGAAAAATGAAAAGAAAAACCTATTGAATTCGAGTAAAAACAATATTTGCAAAAACAAAATGTACTACTGAGGTTAAGTAATTTTGTGTCTATGAAAATATGATAATCATGCTGCAGTAAGACATTTCAACCACTCGAAGACTTTACTGTACACCGAACATTCGTTGGCCAATCACATATATTTAAGCCCTTATTGAAGTGTAAGCCACTGGGGCAAGTGTAACTAAACGTTTCATCGTTCGAGCATATAAAGTATTTGCCACAATCACAAAAATAACTTTAAAAAAGTACCAGTTGGAACACCGACACATGATACCATACCACATCCAGCTACAGGAGCTAAAACATATCGTTTTTTTAAGAACAGTATTAGACGCAATTGGTGCAATATGAACTAGTGTAGTATACTGTGCGATCCGATAAAATCATTCTAACGTGTGAAGGTGCTATCGACTCATCAGTTTTTGAAATTCAGCGCAAAATACTTAGGCTATTTCAGATCCAGATTCGATTATATTGAAGGCAGACTCGCATATGAACATGATCCAGAGGTCTTTTCAAATGTTTTAAGTAGAATTTGATGAACTCCATGAGAATGTCTCTCTCTATTTCTCAATATCTTGTTTTAAGGCTGAAACAATTGTCCTAAGTCGATTTTCTGCTAAAGGATCTTGGCTAGTTTTTAGATGAATGCATATGGGAACATTCCAACGAAGTTTTTCATATTTCGAGTGCATTCGGTATGAAATCATCAAAATGTTCTTCTTCCTTACTGGACTTTTTTTATTAAAGCTGAAAAAGTCCCTACTGATTCCTCATCATACTTTATCAAGTAAACAACATCAAGTTTTCTTTTTAGCTTTGGTGCGGTTTCTCGTGTTCGTTTTTTATGCTCTCGTGTTTTTCTATTAGAATTACGGAGCGTTGCAATTCAATGGTCTCAAAAAGAAGAGAAGGATTAAAGAATTATCTCTCCATAATTAGAAGTTAAAATTTATGTTACAAGCATGCCTAATTTTTGAAGTATCGCGTTTCAAATAGTATTATAATGAACTTTCTACAAAGAGAAGTAATAAACCCGGCCCAAAGCATTGGTTCACATGCACATCCGGAATAGGTTGGATGCAGATATGATATCGTATTCGGAACCAACGTGACCATTAGTGTGATCCTGACATTTCGAAATAGTTTTAATTTTTC